TCCGGTCAGACAGTCGGGACAGCGGTCACGTAGCACAAGCAGGAGAAACCAGCCTCTCTCGCGCCCTTGGAAACGCCCACGGACGGTCAGCATTCGGGGTGGGGGCTCGGAGACGCTCTGGGAAAGGGGGGCCCTGGACGGTTCACCAGTAGAAACGCGTCCGCAGAAGCCGCAGGCCGTCCGGCCGGGTCGGAGGGCCTCCTGCGCCTCCCGTCCCCTGGCCAGCGCTGTCCCTTGTTCCTGACCCTCCGCTTCGCTCTCCCTCACGTGCGTCCGGCGTGGGCTCTGCCTGCTCTACGGACGGTCTCCTTTGTGAAACACCCAGTCAGAAAGGAAGTGGCTCGGGCTGCGCTTTGCTAGTCTTCCTTCTCAGCCCCTTTGGCCAGCTTTTCCGCAGACCCCCAGGCTGGACAGGGAAGCACTGCTAATGGGGAGTCAGAGGAGGGGCTCTCTGCCGGGCGCTGCGGATCCGCGGTCCCAGCGGGGCCGGCCCGTCCAAGGCCTCTCATCGGCACCAGGTGTCTGCCCCTTGGCCGCCGACCCAGCGGGAGGCGACTGCATTTCAGGCTCCGCCCGGGAAGCAAAGTCCGGAGCAGCCACGGCGGGAGCAGGTGCACGAGGAACGGGGGACGGTACCCAGGAGGGGCTCTCCTGGCCAGGGTGCGGGTGACCACACACCGACCCGCCGTGTGTCACCGGGGCAACCCACTGCCACCCAACCGTGAAACCACAACGCGCTCACCCATGAGTGCAAGTGAAGCGAGCAGGGGAACAGCCATTACGAGGAGAATTACTGAGTTACGTGTACTCAAATGAGGGACTTCAAATGTGGAAAAGACGGTCCCGGAAGGGGCCACACCCAGTGCCGGGGGCATATAAACGCCCCCGTCCAGGAGGGACACCCAAACTCGGACTCCGCTCCCTGTCACTCGGCCGACCTCGACCTCCGCCAGCATGTCCGCCAGCTGCCGCTCTGGAAACTCCTCCTCCTGCTCCCTGGGCAGCTCCCAGCGCTGCCCAGGCTCCTCCTGCGGCTCCTCCTGCGGGTCCTCCCGCCCCAGCACCCCGGCCCCCAGCAGGGACCCCTGCTCCTCCAGCCGCTGCCCGCAGGGCCCCTCTCCCCAGAGCAGCTACCAGGTCATCTGCTGGGCACCCAGCAGCCGCCGGCCGTCCTGCTGCAGCCCGAGGGTCCCCGTGCCCAGCAGCCCCTGCCAGGCCCCATCCACTGGGGCTCAGGGCCGGGGGTCCAGCAGCAGCTGCTCCCTGGGCTCTGGGTCTGGTGGCCTCAGACCCCAGGGTTGTGGTGCCTGTGGGGTCCCTTCCCCGGGCCCTGGATCCGGATCCCGCCGCCCGACCTGCGGGACCCCCAGGAGCTGCCAGTCCTCCTGTGGTTCCAGACCAGCCTGTGGATCCAACTGCTACTGATCATCTCACTGGATTTCTAACCCTGTCGTCCCTACTATCCCTGCCTGCACTCATCCCCTCCTGTCTCCGCGTCCCCTGCAGGATGAGTCGCTCCCTCATTCTCTGAGTATCGAGGCCTCACTGCCCATCAGGCCCCAAATGCGCCTAAAGAATTCAACGATTGCTGTATCATCTCTCCACTGGAGATGGGATGGGTATTATTGTTTCCCCCCCCCCAAAACTGTACGAAATGAAAAATCATTATAATCTAATAAATCTCTTCGTTCTGCTACCCAGCTTTGTCTACTGGTGCCAGCTGTTTTTTACTGGGGTTTTGATTGGGATATGAAACAGGTATTATGAAAGGATCAGTGTGCACATGGGAATAGGTTGTGAAGTCCCAGAAAGTTGGGGGTTTGAACTAATTTTGAAGAACCTCAGATATTTTTCTTCCTCAAACCATAGGTAGTTGAGGACTCTTGTTTGAATGTGTTGATTTTTATGAATTAAAATCTCAAAGCCAGGAGTTAGAATGATTCTCTCATAAGATGTGGGGCCCCTGTGCATGCCAAGAGGCACAGGTGGCAGACGGGGTGACAGTCGTGTAGGACATGCAGGGAACAGCAGTGATGCTTGATCCGAACGGCTAGGGCTACACGTGAAAGAGAGACTGAGTTAACGACACATGAGCCTTGCATTGCATCTTTATGCAAGTGGACATGACATAAATGTGGACGCATGTGTACACTTATGAATAGAGGTAAAGTTACAAACATGGTTATGGAAGTATAGATGGATACATAGCTCCAGATATAGATGAGTGTAAAGATGATACAGGTATAGAGGTAGTCTGATTCCCAAGGAAACTTCACCAGACTTCGGGAAGTTAGGAAATGACCAAATCCCAAATATGTTTCATGTAGCACAAACACACTCACAGGCCATTCAGTAAATGAAAACATTAGATCTAGATGTCAAAGTAACGATAACTGATGTACTTGGAAAACAAAAGGATAGATTTTTAGATAGAGATAGAGGCAGAGTCAGCGATTGGTCACTAGGATAGATTTAAAATAAAAAATGAAAAAAACTATAAAAATATTGAGTGCAGCTTCAGAGAACATGGAGAGGTCTCATGTCATTTCAGTTGAAGTCCTAGAAGGAGACTGTGTTTGTGTGTGTGTATACAGACACAGTGATGTTCAATGAACATTTAACGACCGTTGACAAGTCAAGATATTAATGAGTCCAAGAGGGTCAGCATGTACACAACGGACCCAGTGCGACTGTTCCAAGTGGAAGAACATCAGTGCACACATTTACGAACTGTTACACACCCGTGCAGGTGAATGTGAACGAAGGCCCAGCCCGAGGCACATGAAGTCAGACTGATGAGCAAGAAAGGAAAAGAACAATTTAAGGCAACCAGAGGGGGAGAATATAAGTTATGTTTTAAAAAGTAATAATAAAATCGATGACTGTATTATGAACAGAAAAAAAATGAAGGTGGAAGAAATTAAATATGCTCAATTTCTGCAGAAAGGGGACGTTCGAGTACTTGGCTAGTGAGTGTCCATTTCAGAAAGGAAGGGCAGATACGAAACACTTTCAGACGAGCAGACGCTGAGCTTGTCCCCGGACTTCCAGCACCAAAACCTGCAGTAACTGTCGAAAGCGAAGTGGCCCCAGAATGTAGCAAGAAGATGTAAGAAGGAATTATCAGTAAAGGAAGAGATAAAAATATTGGGTACACTTAAGAAAATGCTGCCCATAAAAACACGGGGACAGATATGTGTAAATACACGTAAGCATACACAAAATTAAAGTACAGAAATTCCTTAAACATGGTAATACGTGAATTGGGGTAAATGAAATGGCCTTGTCATTTCTAACATTCTTGCATTCTAGAGGAAATAGGGGAGGTATTAATTTATATTAGCCAGCCATGCTATCATGCATGCCGTCTGTCTAAGGAAGCAGTATCTAATGGAACTTTGTGTGATGCTGAGATATTTTGATCTTCACTTTCCAAAATGTGGTATCCATGAGCCACACGTATCTGTTTTTGCGCTTGAAATGTGGCAAATACGACTGAGGAACTGAATTCTAACTTAATTAGCGTGCCTGGAACTGGACACGCATGGGTGATGGCTGCTCTCCTGAAGGGCGTGGCCCCAGCATCATCCCCTCTGAGTGCAGAGTGAGATGACGGGACCCTCCTGCCAGGAGGGTGGGTCGGTTGCTGGGAAACGGCTAATGGACTTCCTACCACGCAGCAAACTTTGAGATTAGTAATGCAGCATTAGCATTCGTGGTTGGTTTCATTTGCCTGATACATCCTTTTATTTTTCCCTTTTCTGTTTCCTGATATTTAAGAAAACCTATTTTAAGTCTGATGTTCTCTGAAATTTGCTCTCTGAGATGTGATACATCCAGATTTCTACCTAATGTTTACTACTCTGCTGCCATGTGAGTCATGGCCTGTGTTCCGTCTCACCTTCCCTCATGCTTTGGGAGGGGCACTAAAACAGCTCAATGCTATAAAATTGCCCTTTTAATTCACTGTTTTCCAGGTTTTTAATTTTTAAGCAGTGTAAGGGATTTTCCTCGGCCATCCCCGGCGCGTGTGTTTGCTTGCACCCGTACACCCAGGACCACACACCTCCTGCCACTCCCAATCACCGTGGAGATTACTGCCTTTCCCACTGGGGACAACGTGTCGGGACTCGTGTTAGCTCAGGTTTGCCGAAATAGAGAGCTCCGTGAAAAGATATTTAGATATTTTACAGTGGAAAAATAATCTTAAATAAGTAGCGTGTGTTTTACAATGAAGGAGAACATTGTGTGAAAAGGACTTGAAAATAAAACTGCCCAGAAGGTCCTGCGTGCGGGGCTCGTCTGGAGAGAGGGGACTCCAGGCTCACGGGGAGTGGACATGGCCAAGGAGACAGGGTCCCCACGAGGAGCTTACGCGCCATCGAAGTCGAACTTTCTATCTAAGTCGTGCAGATGGAAAACCCTTGAAGTCACCAGTGATCTGCTTCCGGCCGGGACCCACCGAGTTTCTTTCTCGATTCATCTTATCTGTTTTCCTTTCCCAATGAATTTAAGAAGCAGTATATTATGTAAGGAAATACGTGGGAAATAACTTCTGGGAATGAAGTAAATTTAGGGGAAGGGAATTGTGGTGACAAACAGGGTGTCTTCATTCCGCTGACTTAGAGAGAGTGACTTCACTTGATCCCGCCCTTAGAGAGAAGCCCCCCAGCCCGTCTGCCTGGGAAGCACCCTGGGTCTTGGCCGAGAAGGGGGGGCACTTCCGGTCCTGGTTAGAAGGCATTAATGGCTGTAGTCACATCACTCTGACACTGAAATAGCTCACCGGCCTAGCCCTGTGACAGCACCATGCACCCACCCAGCAACAGGAGACAGAGGGAATTATTCATCCTCAATTACAGAGAACCCAGTGGAATTACACAGGCGGGAATGCGAGGTTCCAAGCGTGGAAAAGGTGACCGGGCGGGAGGCCACACCCGGCGCTGAGAGTATAAAGCACCCCAGCCCACACTGTGGCATTGAACTCAGACTCTGCTCGCTGTCACTCGGCCGACCTTGACCTCCGCCAGCATGTCTGCCAGCTGCCGCTCTGGAAACTTCTCCTCCCGCTCCCTGGGCAGCTCCCTGCGCTGCCCAGGCTCCTACTGCGGCTCCTCCTGCGGCTCCTCCCGCCCCGGCACCCTGGCCCCCAGCAGGGACCTCTGCTCCTCCAGCCGCTGCCCGCAGGGCCCCCCTCTCCGCAGCGGCTACCAGGTCATCTGCTGGGAGCCCAGCAGCTGCCGGCCGTCCTGCTGCAGCCCGAGGGTCCCCGTGCCGAGCAGGCCCTGCCAGGCCCCGTCCACTGGGGCTCAGGGCCGAGTGTCCAGATGCTCCTACTCCCTGGGCTGTGGGTCCGGTGGCCTCAGACCCCAGGGTTACGGCATCTGTGGGGTCCCTTCCCCGGGCCCTGGATCCGGATCCCGCCGCCCGACCTGCGGGACCCCCAGGAGCTGCCAGTCCTCCTGCTACAGACCGTCCTGCGGGTCTGGCTTCTTCTGACGAGCTTGTGAACGGTCCCGATTCTCTCAAGTACTGAGGACCGAGTCCACCCAGTGCCACCATCATTCCGTCGCCAGTTGCCACAGTTATTTTATCGGTAAACCATCAGTTTCTTGCCTCACCGGCTTGGACAGACCCTGAAATTAATGAGACACCCGAAATTCAGTCCTCCTGCTCCTGCATTTCCATGGAAGAGCAAGTGAAAATGAGTTTCAACCTAATAAATTCATATAACTCGGCTTCCCAGCGTATTGTTCGCGGTATTACCATTCCTCTGCTCTCCAGACCCGCCTACCGTTTTCGTATTCGAGGGTTTGGAGGAGGAAGTGAATCGCCATCAACCTTAGAAACCGGGTTCGGGCCCAGCGCCGTCTGGCAGAGCTGAGTGGCTCCTGCTGCTGGTACCGCGCGTGCGCCCTCACAGAGGGTGGTCTTCCCGCCGGTGTTTGCGTCTCTCGGTGTGGGAGGCATTTCCCCAGAACAGGAGGCCGGTGTCCCCACCGACAGGGGGAAGCAGGAGGTCGGTGCGCAGACTAGAAGCGCCGACAACAGGCGCGTGACACAATGTCTGCTGCGAGCTCACACGTAGAGGAAAACTTCACGTCTGGTATCTGAGCGTAGGTTTCCCTGGGACTGCGGCTTGGCTCCGGCCGGCTCACGGCGGCGCCCCTGTCCCTGCGCCCCGCAGGCGGCGCTGCAGGGCCGCGTCTGTACCCGTGGGTACGTGGGTACAAGTCACTGCGACTGCAGGGGGGCGGGAGGCTGAGTACAGGGGGTGGGGGACCCCCCTGACGCTTCTCCAGGCTCAGACGAAGCAAACGAAGCGCGGCACGCCCGAGCCGTGTTGCAGAATTCCTTCCTAGTCCAGGCCTGGGCCCGCCCTCCTGCGGAACTGAGCCCCGGAGCTCGGTGCGAACAGTCTGTCTGCGCAGGGTCTGCGCAGGGTTCCAGGAAGCAGGCGTACAAGGCCGTGGGCCTCATATCGATCAAACGGGAAAATCTCACTTGATGTTAAAGTGGACAGTGGAGAGTCCATCCTTCGGGGCATTTCAGGAATTGCAGAGTGACTCTTGGGGTTGTCCGCCCCCAGATGTGATTTTAGTAGGAGAAGCATTTACCCAGCGGCTCCGCCTCCCGAGGGGCGAATGCCGTCTCGGACGTGCGGTGACTCCCCGGGACTTCATCGCCGGGCAGAGGATCGCCGGTGGGCTCCTCTCGTGTCCTCGCTGTGACCTCGGAGAAGCCCGGGCAGAAAGGGGAAGGAGCGGTGTGCGAGCCTGAGGCCGGGGCTGTCTGTGCGAAGGGAATGCGGCTGGCAAGACAGCGACACCCGGTGTCGTGGGCGGGGCCCGGGCGGGGCCCAGGGTGGGGGGGGGCCCGGGGCGGGGGCCTGGGTGGGGGCGGGGCCAGGGGCTGAGCCCTGAGTGGGGGCGGGGCCTGGGGAGGGGCGGGGCCTGTTGAGGGGCGGGGCCAGAGTGGGGCGGGGCCCTGAGTAGGGGCGGGGCCCTGGAGAGGGCGGGAGCCCGGGGCGGGGGCCCTGGGTGGGGGCGGGGCCAGGGGCTGAGCTCTGAGTTGGGGCGGGGCCCTGAGTGGGGGCGGGGTCCTGGGTGGGGGCGGGGCCGGGGCGGGGCCCTGGGGTGGGCGGGGCCGGGGCGGGGCGAAGTCCCAGGCGTCATCAGCACAGCCCTCTCGTTCAAGCCTGCAGCATCCCTGTGCGACAGACCGGCATGGCATCCTACAGACTGCCCCAGGCACGAGGGGCCGAAGGGCCCCACAGCGCAGGGGCTTGCCGAGGTTCACAGATCAAGGATCTTGTAGACGCGACTTCGGCTGTTCTGTCCTCAGCTGCCGTTTTTACGCGGAACTCCCGTTTGACCACGGAGCCCTGGGGCCCCCAGGTCCACAGAAATCGCTGTCTCGGAACAGGCTTCGGCTCCCTCCGGTCCTGGCGTTTTAGCCTCGTGGTTGTACCCGTGACAGAGAGTGGACCTGGAGGCGGGTTTGGAGTTTAGGGGGAGATCACCGGTTTGTTTTGAGAAGAGCTGCGTTGACGGTGATACCAGTACCGGGCGGGGAGGGAAGGGTCCGATCACCGCCCGGGAAGATACCGCTGGGGGTCTCGGGAGCCAGGGCAGCCTCGTGTCACTCTCGCTGATTACCGTCGTCAGCGTCACGTCTGCTTCCTTCGTCACCGTCTGGCACTCTCAACGGGAGAAGGTAACAAATACGAATTCAACGCCAGCAGCCAAAACACCGCGGATGATCAGCTTCTTGTTACAAATTTAAAAATAAAATAAAGAATATGAAAGCCCTGGCTGGCGTAGCTCAGTGGATTGAGCGCGGGCTGCGAACCAAAGTGTCGCAGGTTCGATTCCCAGTCAGGGCACGTGCCTGGGTTGCTGGCCATGACCCCCAGCAACCACACATTGATGTTTCTCTCTTTCTCTCTTTCTCCCTCCCTTCCCTCTCTAAAAATAAATAAATAAAATCTTTAAAAAAAGAATATGAAAAGGATTCTCATGTAACTTAGCAGAATTCTCACCACCCCTCTAAATTCCGCCACATAAATGCTGAGTCACTCCTGGAAGCTTCTCTCTGAAAAAACATTCTAAAAAGGTAACATTGCCCAACTCCTGTGACATCTCCTGATACTGTAAACTGTACTTCCACTTTGAGCGTTTAATTCTTGTTTGAAATACAGGCAACCTCAATTTCATGCCCCTTTTTTACACCACATTTCACGTACAGTGACCCCTTGCACTCCGGGGTCTGTTCCAAGACCCCCAGCAGACCCCTGACCTGCAGAAGCACCAGACCCTACGGATGCTGCTTTTTGTCCCGATTACATATCTATAAAGTTTAATTTTTAAACTTAGGCTCAGTGGGAGACTAACAGCGATAACTAGCAGCAATAAAATAGAACAACTCTAACGCTGCAGTGTAATAAAAGTCATGTGAACGTGGTCTCGCTCTTTCTCTCAAATGTCTTATTGTGACCACCGCCCTGGCAGTGCCCGGCCTGGGGTCGCTGTGCGGTCGCTGTGCGGTCGCGGCTGAGCCCCGCTGCGGGCGTGGTGTTCCCGGGGCAACACGCGCGACCGCCGACCGGAACTCGTTCTCCGCTCGCTGGTCCGCCGCGAGTCTAATGCCTTTTCCATCCCAAAGAGCGCGCGTCTCTCTCTGTGACTGCGACCTCTGGGGTGTGAGTGCGGCGGCGAAACGGGTGCGAATTCCTTTGTCCGGCTTCTGAATTCCAGTGACAATAGATTGGTTCTCACCATCGGTTTTAGCGACCTGGCGTACGGACTTCCTTTTCTATACTCAGGCAAGAACTTGCACCTTTTCACTGAAAGGTGTCCTTCCTGGCGTCTCCCTGGCGTGTCCGAATTGCCAGCCCCACTCCCCTTGGGCTTTGGGGCCGTTCCTAAGTAAATGAGGGCGACTTGTGCAAGCACTGTGATACCTGACCGGTACCCCAGGGGGGTACCCCAGGGGGATCCCCAGGGTCTAAGGGGGCGGGGCGTCTCCCGCAGGGAGAGCCAGATAGTCACGTTCCAGGTGGGATGACATGAAGACTTGGGGATGGCCTGTCCCTGCCAGCACAGCCTGCAATTCAAAACTTATAGATTGTTTATTTCTGTAATTTCGCACTTAGTACTCTGGGGTGTGGCTGGCCGTAGGTAACAGAAACCATGGAACTCGAACCACAGACGAGGGGGACTTCTTGTTCGGGAGGGTCATACAGGAGAGGTGACTGCCAGCCTGACCCCCTAGGCTCCAGGCCACTGGAGATGCCATGCCCAGGCCCCTGCTCGGACCCGGGCCCCGTGGGCCCTCCCCGAGCTGGGAGCTGCCCCAGGACACGCAGGAAAGGGGTGCTGATGCCCTCTGTGTCTGGGTGGGCTAATGCCTGCCTGACCCCGGCCGAGGCCTCCGCACACTTTGAAGATTTATGGGCGGGTGGGGAACCTGTCCCTCTTGCGGTCACCCAGGACAAGCCTTCTGCGTCACTCACTCTGCCTGCTAAAGCCCCCACCTCCCCCGAGGAGGCTGACTTTCTCTCGGGTCTGCCCCGCCCTCTGCCGGGGGCGGTTGCAGGAGGTTTCAGACCGCCACCACCGGTCACCGCACCAGCCCTGCTCCCCTTCCCAGGCTGCACCTGCAGAGGCTGCCAGTCCTGCCGGGGGGCGGGGGCGGGGGGAGCCGCCAGCTGGGCTGGAACGGTGACCAGCCGGTCCCTAGGCTAATTCAACGGCCGACCATTATGAGGGAAAAGTGAAAAACCTAAGACAGTTACCAAACGGGGCAGAATGCTGAGGCGAACCCGGTAAACGAAGACCTGTGGTTGCCCTTGGGCGGAATCCGAATCACCTGTGCCTTAGTCACCTCGTCCTCCACTCAAGGGACACTGGTTCGGGGCACGACCGCTGGTCAGGGGCCCTCAGCTGATGGATATCTGGCTGACCTCTGTCACGTGAGACTACCTGCCTTGGTTCTGAGGTGGTTTTCCCCCCATGTATGTGCTATGAGCTGAACAAGGGAAAACACAGGACAGGGGAGCACTTCGAGCTCACAGGGCTGGGCGGGGCTGAGCGCCGGCCTCCTTGCCGACAGGCACTGGGCCTCGCCAGGAATCCCACCCAGAGGCCCGGCTTCCGCTGCCCAGGGAAGCACCGCCCAGGCACCCTCCCCAGACCTGACTGCCCGACCTCTGCCTCCTCCCTGGGCGCCCTCGCTCCAACTGTGCGAATATCTGAGGATTTATCTGATGGGTACTTTTTCTTCCAAAAGCATGGGATGCAGTCGATTTCATATACCTTGCCCTTTGTAATGATTTTATATAAAAGGAGTGAAGTTTCTAGCTCCCTCCAGAACAAGGCCATGGTTGTTAGTTAGTCTGTCTATAGTCTTAAAAGCATGTTTTGAGATTTTGACTTATGAAATCGTTAACGGGTGGAATAAACATAAAAGAAAAAATAATTGCTTCCAAACCCAGAAGGCATGGGACAGTTTCACTTTTTAAAGGAAATTCTTTTAAATGATAAATATAAGATACAGAAATATCCAGCCAGGTAACTTACAAGGAGCTTCGAAGACAGTCAACAAACACTATTATTAAGCAAACACGTGAATGCCACACAACACTTTCATTTAAACGCAGAACACCCTTCCACTGGGTAAAATCCGGAGCAAATGCACTGGGGATGGCCACAGAGGAGAGGGCTCCGAGGTGCGTGTCTGCGTGACACCGGGGAAGCAGCCGGGCATCTCTCTGGGAACCCACAGTAGGTGACAGGGAAGGTCGTGTTTGTCCGCTGAAAGTGGGACATGAGATCGACAGATAATACGGGCCTTGATGTGGCAGGCGCGGTGTTAATTTCTAGAAAGCGCAGGTGTTCTGTTCGAACTCAGACGGGCACAAGCCAGGCCCGCGGGCTGGTTGGTCGCACGCTGACTCGCAGCCTCCAGCGGAGAAGCAGGTTGGACAGGAAAAGCCAGGCCGGCCACCTAGAGATGAGGCCGCACGGGGACCACACCCCGCTGGTCAGAAACAACGAGACCCACGGCCCAGGGGCCCCAGGGCAGGGGCCTGGCGGGAGCTGCCCAGTGCGGGGGCCCTTGGGCCGCAGCAGGACGGCCGGCAGCTGCTGGGCTCCCAGCAGGTGACCCGGCAGCCACTGTGGAGAGAGGGGCCCCATGGACAGCGGCTGGGGGAACGGAGGCCCCTGCTGGGGACCAGGGTGCTGGGGTGGGGGGAGCCGCGGGAGGAGCGTGGGCAGCGCCGGGCACCCCCCAGGGAGCCAGTAGGGCGGTCTCCAGGGCAGCAGCGGGGGACATGTTGAGGGGTGTGACTTATCATAAGAAGATTCTGAGATTGAGAGTCACGTCTTGCTCTGGGACATTTATATTCCCTGGTCGCTGGGTGTGCCAGCTGCAAAGCACGTAAAAACATGTCACCTTCTGCTTCTCACGGAGTTGAAAAGACCATCCCAGCCACTCCTGCGTGGTGGCTGTGGGTTTACGACAGTCAGCGGCGTCCTGTCTGTGCCCCGGAGGCAAGTGGTCCGGTCAGGCGGTCTGGTCGGATCCTCAAAGCTGCTGGGCCCCTGGGCCTCCCGTCTCCCGAAGCTCACCGGGAAGGTCACCCCGAGAGCGGCGTTAGAGGCGGGCCGGGGCCGGGCTGAGGGGCGCCGGCGAAATTAGAAGTGATCGGTATGCCTTTCACAGCCCGCCCCACCAGGGCCCCATCTGGACAGCCAGGTGCACAGGGACCCCGTCTCTGTCGCTGCCCCCCAGCAGCTGCAGCAGGTGCTGGCGGTGGCGGCGGCGGTGCTGGTGCCCAGGAAGTGACAGGGCTGCTCTACAAATGCAGCCGCAGGGTGGTGTGCGAGCCACGGGGGTCCTTTCCGACCCGGTCTCAGTGGGCCCTGCCTCAGGGAGGCAGGAGCACAGGCGTCCCCCCTCCCCGAGCTCCCGCTCTGGGCTGCCTGCACACTGGTCTGGTCCCTCTGAGCTCTGCCCCTTGGCGCTCACTGAGCTCGCTGGGAGTCAGAGGTCACGACTGGCTTTCTGGCACGTAGGGGTGTGAGAGCTCCTTCGTCTGAGATGCGGGGAGCAGCTGTGAACATGAGCACCGAACGCAGGCACGAACGCCCCATGGGGTCTGACTTCTGACCGGAGCCCGTCTTGACCTCTAGAAGGATGCCCAGACTCGAGAAAATATCCTTGTTCTCCAGGGAGTTTATAAGGTAATGACCTCGGAGTGCTGGGGACCAAAGGAGCCGTCTTAGGGACACTCTTCCTCTGCTTCACGAAGTGGCAGGCCTCACAGTGGACGAAGCTGCTTCCTGGTGTTCCTGACAAGTGTCCTGTTTCTCCGCTGGCCACTGGCTCTGCGGCCGGGGCGGCAGGGGCCGGAGACGGGCGGCTCGGGCGGAGGGCTGGCCGGCTGCGGGGGAGGGGATGGGGGCCTCTGCTCCCTGCGGCGCCGTGGTCTCCGATGGATTCATTTCCCAGAAAATCGTCTCCCTGGCACTCCCCGGCAGGAGTGTCTGGGGACAAAGACCTCCATTTACTCGAGAAAAGAACGTTCGATATCACTTAATAGCGGATCTCACAATGTTCTTCCTCGGAAATAGCGTCTCTGAGAGAGGGTGGCACTGAAGCGAGGAAGCAAATTCAATTTAGGTGGCTGCAATACTGATACGGATGTTGTCGTGTTCACTCTTTCATGGACAAATAAAACAGGGAGGAGGTTCGGAGTCTACTGGAATGCCTTTTGTTATTCATGACTAAGAAGACTAATAAACGAGAATGATGTATTTTGTACAGGGAGGACAAACTACGCTAACTAATCAATGAAGTATCGATTGAGGTGTGCATGCCTCTTCAAACGTGTTCACACTATCGGGTCCACACTTGGGTGCACTTACCAAAGTGTGAGTGTGCCACACACTTACTACGTACATTCGCTACACTGAGCGGCGGCGATCTCCAGCTCCCTCCGGCTTGGAACCCGCCCCACCCACACCGGGACTCGATCTTCCCAGGGCCCGCAAGGTGAAACCCCTGTATCCACATTCCCTCCTTTTATCTTTCTAGCCAAGTCTTCCCCGGTCACCTCCACCTGGAAAGCTCCATTCTCCATGGAAGGAGTCTGAGCTCATTTGCACTGAACAGGGATCAGCTGTGGAAGGTGGGCGTCTCGAGGGGCCGCCCGTTGCTGCCGGCCGCTGTGAGCCCTGCCGTCCGGGGTTCGGGGCCCGCCAGCGGGGGGCAGGGGCGGCCTCAGGAGAGAGTCTGGGAAGCAGCCCGCGTCCTCGTCCTCCGGGCAGAGCTCACGCGTCTCGGTTCCCGGGCCCCGTGCGGGCCCCAGCGGCCTGCGTCCTGGGCTTTGTGGGATCACTCGCGCCGATGCCCCGCCCCGGGTCAGTTTATAAAGCTCATTCACGCGTAGCCATAAAGTCTTCAAATACCTCACCTTTCTGCAAAGCCTACATGGAGGACACACTTTCTGATTTCTTGATTTTCTTTACCTTCCGCAGTAAAAACCCCGCCCTGTGCGAGGGAACGAAGAGCATAAAGGCCTGTTTTTCAGGGGAGTACTTGCTGCTGTGTTCTCAGTGGCATCGCCGTGACCAAGAATCACTGAAAATGTGTGCACATGGGGCATTTCTGACCGTCCACCTCATCGACGGCCTCTCGTGAGAAGCCAGCCAGCCTCGGAGCCAGGATCCCTCCGCGCCGGCATCTTCGCGGCGGGACTGCTGGGGCCCTCCCGCGGACACTGGACCTCAGGGCCCGTCAGCCGTTACACCGGGAACTGTCTCCCGGCCGGGACTCCCCCTCTGGGGACACATGTGCACAATCTGAAACACTGATCTGAAAAGTTACGGGCACCTCATGTTCCTCTCGGCATTCCGTACAGCGGTGGGGACACGGAAGCCGCCCACGTGTACGTGTCGGCAGACGACGGCGTGAGAAAGCGGTAGTGCATGTGGACAGTGGAATGTCACTCAGCTGCAAAAAAGAACGAAATCTCACCATTTGTGCCAGCCTGGCTTTGCCTGGAGCACGGGTGGCAAACACAAGGCCCGAGGGCCAAATCCCGGCCCTGCACCTGGTCTTATCCGGCCCTCCACCTTGTTTCTACCCGTCGGCAGCGTCAAGCTCTCGCTTAACTGTTAAGGAGCAGTTACATTGACACAGTCCTCAAGTTACATTCGGCCCTTGGAAGGCAACCGCGAGGCTGCTGTGTCCCTGGTGACAATGAGTGTGACACCCCTAATACCCCGAGGGTATTAGGCTAAGTGAGATAAGTCAGCTGAGAAAGACAAACACCGGATGAGTTTACTTGTATGCAGGATCTACAGAACAGAATGAATGAACAAGAAGAACAGAAACAGACTCACAGACACGGGAAACAGAGTGGCGGTCACCAGAGGGGGCGGGTGCGAGGGGGCGGGGTGGAAGGGGAGGAGCCATGAGGACGTACAGGGCGGTGGGGACCCAAACAGCCACCGGGCCATGAAGTCCAGCACAGAGAACATGGTCAATAATATTGTGATGACCGTGCGGGGGGGCGGGGCAGGCGGTGCTGGCGATGATACCAGGGGGTGCTGTGTAAAGTGTGTGACTGTGCAGCCCGTGCTGCACGCCGGAGCCCAGTACAACGTTATGACGAATGTGAACGTGAATTGCCGAATAAGTAAACAAATAACTCCGTGTCCCCAAGAGTGCCGGGGGTGCTTGTACTGTAAGGAAACTAAAATTCAAACGTGTCATTCATTTCGTATTTCCAGCAGTAAGAGTTGTTACCAAGTGATTTTTCTACAAGGCCCACAGGTCTGGGAGATGGAACAGATATCGAGGAGTACTTTTCTGTTCTTGTCTGGGTTCCTGAAATGGAGCAAAGTAAGTGCCACCTCCAGACTAAAAACCAGTTTTGGGGCTTCAAACACAACCCAGTTACCGCGGCGTGACCCCCTCAGCAGGCTGTATCCAGGGCCAGGATGAATGAAACGCCGACATTATAGGTGCAATTACGGCACAATTAATTCACCCACCCAAGCTGGATGAATGAGAAACGGCTTCTGTGCTTCCTGAGTAATTGCTTCGGAAAACTAATGAAATTCTCCTTTAAAAGGCTGCATTCGTAAAAGAGTCCTTTGAAGGCCGGTGCATCTCATCTTGCCTGCGGCCTGATTGAGCATCCTGACGACGAGGCCCCGGCTGCCACGCCCACGGCCGGGGCATAAAAGCGTCCGGCGCAGACCAGGGCACCCACCGCCCAACGACTCCTCGCCGTGACTCCACCAGACTCAGCTCACTCGGCCTCGCTCACCATGTCCTGCAGCCTCAGCTCCGGGAGCCGCTCCACCCGCTCCTACCGGCGGGCCCTGCGCTGCCCCGGCTCCCCCTGCGAGCCCGTCTTCCAGGGCCACGCCGTCTACTCTCCGGGCACCTGCCAGCCGGGCCCCTGCCAGCCGGGCCCCTGCCAGCCGGGCCCGTCTCTCTACGGCGGCTGCCAGGACGCCTACTGCGCACCCACCAGCTGCCAGACGTCCTGCTTCCGTCCCAGGACCTCCGCCTTCGGCAGCCCCTGCCCGTCCAGCTACTCGGGGTCCTCGGGATGCGGCCCCACAGGCCTCAAGCCCTCCGGCTATGGCAGCCCCCACGTCCAGTCTCTGGGCTGCGGGCCCAGCTTCTACCGCCCCACCCCCACTTGCTTTTCTTCCAGGAGCTGCCAGTCGGCCTGCGTCCAGCCGGCCTTCAGCCATCGCTACTTCGGGCCAACTTACTGAGCGTCCCGGGTCGTCTCACGGCGGTGCCTGCGACCTCTGAAGCCAGAACAGGCCTCCGGCCCGAAAGCCAGGACTGCTGACTCCCGGCCTGGCCGGGTCTCCCGTCCCGGCTCCTGGAAGCCTGTGACTTATTGTGGACAAAGTGACCTTGTCTGTGACCTTCTCTGAACCATACACGTGAGATAGAGCTAATTTGCATTCTTGTGCCACAGCTCAGATTCACGTCTTCTACTTTCTAAGATTCCTCTCTTCTCTCTCTCCTAGCGTTTGTTCACGTAACTGTATTTCAGATAAACTTGGCACCCAAATAAAGTCACTTCTCCGAGATGAACTGTGGCGTTGCACTGGCCGTGTATCTGGCGCGTTGGGGAGTGGGCGCCGGCCCTCGCCTGCCGCCCTGGGAGAGCCTTTCTTTGTTGTCTGCGTTTCGTGCGTTTTATTGCCGTTTTGCTGGGTAGAAAATGGGGAATCCAGAGGAGAATTTAAATACATGGCATGTCTTGCATCTTAAGAGACCCACATCCCCTCATAGTTGCATTTGCTCATCTAATTGCTTCAGAAACGCTGTTCCCAGTCCGGCGTTCGTGGGGAAATGTGCTTGAGCCCCGGCTGCGGAGCAGCCTGGCGCTGCGGGGGGACAGGGCCTCCCCCTCACAGAGTCACGTGCACGCCGTGCTCACCCGCCGTCGCAGAGCCAGGGCACCCGCGGGGACAAAAACCAATGTTTCGGGGGGGACCCGGACAACAAGGGCTTCCAAACAGCCGGCGGAAATCAGGTAAAAGCGCCGCTGGCAACAGGAAGGGTGAGGCGGCGCCCCTGACGGCAAGTCGGTCTGCCGGTGTGCGTGCCGGCGGGGCCTCCGGGAAGGGCCTGCCCCGCGGGGCTGGACGGGAAGTAGGCGTGTCGGTGAGGACACTTGTCGGGGAGAGTGGGGAGGTCGCAGGGGGACTCCGGGAGAGCCGTCAGAGCCGGAGCAGGTCGGGACTCAGGGAAGGGGGAGGGGCAAAGGGAGGGCAGGAAGGGAGGAAGGAAGGAAGGAAGGAAGGAAGGGAGGAGGGAGGAGGGAAGGAAGGAAGGAAGGAAGGAAGGAAGGAAAGGAAGGAAGGAAGGAAGGGAGGAGGGAGGAGGGAAGGGAAGGGAAGGGAAGGGAAGGGAAGGAAAGGGAAGATTGGGTTAGAATAATACTCCTGAGGGTAATTCCAAGAGAGTTTCGGCACACCACTCCTTAAAGGAACTCCCTGCATCGCGGAGACGGGCCCTCCTTAGTGCCCCAGCCAGCCCCGTGACAGGGCTCCCCCGACCTTGGCCTACGCCCCAGAGCGGGTGCAGAGGGGCAGCGGGAGCTCTCGGTCCGTCATGCACCCAGCAGCGGGGGCCTGACCCCCTCCGAGCTTCCGTGTCCGTGAGCTATTCTGGTTTTACATCAGCCGAAGTGGTAATGGGTGTATGGGGCGATGATCGATGAGCCCACGGAATTTTCAGGGGTTAAGTTCGATACACCCTATTTTACCTAACTTTGATCGAAACATCAATTCCCACATCGCGCCCTGTTGGGCGGAGGTCATCATGCAAACGTCTAACCCTGAACCGGACACGAGCGGCCACAGAGAGTAACTGGGTGGTTCAGGCCGCCACCTCGCTCACCCTTCCCTCCTTTGTTCGTTTCCGTCACGGCCCCCTTTCTCCATCACGCTCTTCCTTGTCATCTCTATCAGCCCGCAGGGGCCTGCCCGCTCCCCAGACGTCCCCTCTCTTCCATGCCGTGTCCACGGCCCGCGGCACTCACGCCGTTGGGCTGCACACTCCTCGTCAGGATCGGGCCGTCCTGTGCGTGCTGAGCTGGTCGGCCGCGTCCCTGGCCTCTTCCCACTGGACGCCGGTGGCACCACCACCACCACCAGTTGTGACGATGAGATGTGTCCCCACACATCAGCAAACATCCTCCAGGGACAAAATTATCCCCCGATGACAGCCGTTAATTTACATGCGTGTCCTGGCCGTGGCCTGTGGGGGGGTTCTAAAGTGCGAACACTGGACCTGACCCTTGTCTGGGGTGAGGGTGGGACAGCGAGGTTCAATGCTGTACGACTCCACGTGTGAATGAGGGGCCGTGGGGGAGGGCTGCCGATAACTGTATTGATGCTTCGTAAACCTAAACCGACGTTGAGCTACCGACTTAATAAATAGAGTCCGCTAGTGCACAGGAATATAGTAGTGGTGATTTTGTTTACCATTGCAATTATTGTGTTTGTAATTATAATACTGTGTTTACAGTTATATTGTAAAATTGTGTTTACAATGGTAATGACCTGTTCAACTACAGTTAGAGGGGAAAATGATGACTTTCTGTGACAGGCGTCGCAGATCTAGAATTTCCGAGTCCTCCCCTGTGATCACACCCACCCTCCGACCATCCTAGACCGGGAAGGACAGGAAGACTTGGGTCACTGTCCGGCCGAGTTTGGAACAGGACCAGCGGGGACCGACGGCTGGCTTGTAGACTCTGCTTCGGTTCGTTGGGGCGTCCCGAGGGCTTTCTCTGATCTGTCTGGCTCATTCTGCGTCTTGCACAAAAAGGAGACAGGCACTCTTTCAGTGCCCGGTGGCAGTGGTAGCACTGACCCTGAACTGCATTTTCTTCACGGTGAGGCTCTGCAGCCGGTACCACAGGCTGGACGCTCTGAGCAGCCCGGCACCTGAGTTCAGTTGACCGGAAGAGGCTTTGTTGACCGAGACTTCTTCAGCCATGTCTACCACGTGTCTCCGGAACAAACCTCTACTCAGAGACGCTTCTGTTTCCAACACACGAAAACAGGCTCACTGAAACGGGCGTTTATTGGTCCCTGTTGCTGGGGTTTATGCCAGGCTCCGGGGGCTGCAGATTCAGGTAATAAGGTAATAGAATTGACACACAGCTGCCAAAGCATTATACACTGACTGTAGCTTCAGTCAGGCTGATCCAATCTCATGAAAAAGAAACGAAAATTGGAGGACTCTTCCCAGAAACGGTAAAGCCCGGCCAGGACCCAGAGGATGACACCTTCGGCCGGCGGCGCGCACTCGCAGGACAGGAAGGCGGAGGGGACAGGTGCGGAGCACACGGGTGCTCCCTTGTCTTCTGCGTGGGAAGCGGAGCTTGACCTTGAACTGGGACGTCTACGTGGCCATGGGTATCCTGCTAACAAACTTGAATCGTGTTACACAGGAACTACAGATCAACGGACATTTCTGAGTAGTCATTTTAGGGATTTATTCTTTCACCTAAATTTAATAATACGCCTTGGGGGGCAGATTTTTTGAATAAGAACTTTGATTTCTTTTAGTCAATATTCCGTTTGCAATCACATTTGCAATTCACATTTTGCAATTCAATTCCCATGCTTAGCATTTGGAATCCTTTGAGACAGAAAGGTACCAGAAACATGTCAAAGTTCGTGGGCTAGATCCTGTCTGCCAGCTGCTGCCGGCTCCCCTGGAGGGAGCTCCCGGGACAGGAGCTGCTGCTCCCAGCACGCTGTTTTAACACAAGGCTCGCGAGCGCACAGCAGACCCGGTGCACAGGAATTACTAAACGTAGAGACGAACGTGCTACCGCCCGTCTCTCGGACGGACGGCACTCTCACCAGCCAAACGCCCGCCACCACTCGCCGGCATTCCAGGCCTGCCGCTCATTCTGTCCCCTGCACGTCACGCCTCCCGATGGGCGGGAGCGCCCCGCTGGAGAGGATGCCACCCCCGCAGAGGGCACGGACATCCGTCTCAGCAGCAGCAGGTGCTTTTACTAATGACCGTCTCAAGCGTGTTTGCGTATAAAGGAGTGAAACTGTTCCAAAGCCTGCATCGCAGTTAATACCAAATTACCTTGGTCTGATTCCGTCGCTGGCTGAAAACAAGATTGCACCGTTTAAAAGGTTTTGCTGTAGATGAAAATAAAAATAATTTATGAAAATGGAAGTCATTACTGTATTCACTTTTATATTGTTTTAAAAGCAGTAGTCAAATGTTGTGAGCGCTCATGTTTAACAGTACATGTTGCAGGAATATATACTCTTATAATTCATAAAACAACATAAAGAGTTGGGCTGGGTATGGGTTCAGTCATTTTTTTCCTACATTTTTTTAAATTTAAATAAGACATCTGAGGTACAGAGAAGTTAATTTGCCCAAGATCACACCGCTGCTTAGTAGTCTACCGAAAACTCAGTTCCCTTTTAAAACTTTTAAAAAACATGTTACCTTAGGCAGGGAGTAAAAATAAATAAAAGCATGCATGGTTAACAAATTGCATTTCTACAAATTTATGTTCCAAATGCCAGTAACCAGTGAAGTCAACGCCGGGAGATGTTCTCGGTGGAGAGAGCAGCGCACGCGGAAGCGTCTCAGACTCCTCTCTGAGCACGTGGTCTCGGGCTGAGGGAGGCGGACCTGGGGGATCGGGTGGAGAACTCGGCAGCGCCCCCTGCAGAGCGGGGTCCTCCCTGAGCACAGAGTCCAGCGGGCTGTGCAGGCGGCCTAGGACAAGAGCGGGCTCTCCGTGTGGGACACGGCGCATCCCCGGTGAGCCCCTGGCCACCACGGGCTCCGAGAGGCATCTAACTGTGGTCGCAGTGATGTTGGTCGCTGGGTTTTACAGAATCCCGAGGGAGCACACTGAGAACCAGCAAGGGAATGAAGAATACGGGACGTTTTAATTTTGTCCTTTCAAACGTCATGCTCCCACTACTGTTGCTGCATACTGCAAGGGTAATGAACGTCTGTAATGATAAATTCCAAATTACTCAAGGCCACAGCACCAGGCTGCCTGCCGTGAAGCTGCTGTCCGTCGATTGCAAATTTATTCTGATCCCTTAAAAATCAGGAAATCTGCCAATTTTGTGCAAACTCTACTGTAAGGAATTAGAGCTTACTTAGTTTATTTGTTGCCCCCCCCAATCCCCAAAGATACCCTGCATTTCCGTGTGAATGTATAACCATCCAATACTTTTATTTTTAAATATGA